GCACTCACTCTAGCCTGGGCAAAAGAGTGAGACTCTGTCTCAAAGAAAAAAATATAAATAAAAGTCAGAATCCAGTTAAGGTTCTTACGTTACATTTGGTTGTTATGTTACTTTTTTTTTTTTATTTTTGAAGTGAGTTCTCACTATATCACCCATGCTGGTCTTCTCAAACTCCTAGGCTCAAGCGGTCCCTCTGCCTCAGCCTCCTAAGTAGATGGGACTACAGGCATGTGCCACCATGCCTGCTTATTAAAAAAATTTGGCGGGCGTGGGAGGAGGGGTCTTGCTCTGTTGCCCAGGCTGTTCTTGAACTTCTGGTCTCAAGCCATCTTCCTGCCTCAGCCTCCTGAGTAGTTGAGATTACAGGCGTAAGCCACCATGCCCACCAGCAATTATGTCTCTTTAGTCTCGTTTAGTCTGGAACTGTCTTCCCATCTTTTTTAGTTTTTATGACATTGATTTTGTGAAGGGTCTAGGTCAGTTGTCTGGTAGAATATCCTCCTACCTTCTGGATTTGTCTGAATTTCCTTTCTTCATGCATCATTGAACTTTTGCCTTTATCCAGAGTCTTTCCTGTAAACTAGAAGTTTAATATCAGAACTTGATTTTATATTCAGGTTAAACGTTTTTGGTAAGAGTACTTTATAGGTAATATCATGTACCTCATACTGCATCATATTAGGAGGTATATAACATCAGATTGTTTCAGTACTAGTTAGTAATGCTTAGTTTGATCATTTGTTTAAGATGGAAACTGCCATGTATTCCTATTGTAATGGTATGTTCTACTCTCTGTAATTAGTAAGTAATCTGTGGGGTGATACTTTAACAACAAGCAACTATCCTATCCCTAATAATCCACCAAATACTTCTTAAAACAGTATTGAAAACGTATTTCTTAAGAAGTTATTAAAATAGAATTTTAGAGCTAAGAAATACCTAAGAGGTCATTTAATCCCAGCCCTTATCCGATGAAAGAATCCCTCTTTGGCAGATGGATCATCTAACCTGATTAAGTATCTTAGAAACAGGGTTTTAGTGGTTTGAAATTTATGAGTTAAACCAAAATCCAAAGTCTTCATCACAAATGTCCTACAGTGAATGTCCCACAGGGTCTTCCTTTTGCTACCTTATATCTTATCACTCGCCCCGTGCTGGTTTCAGCCAACCTAACCTACTTGGTGTTCCTCAAACATAAACCTACTCCTCTTTGCAGTTACTTTTATTGTTAGGGATGTTCTTCTCCTCTAATAACCATGTGGCTTCCTCCTTTACTTCATTCTGATCTCTGCTCAAATATCACCATATTAGAGAGGTCTTTCCTGATCACCCTGATCACTCTAAAATAGCTTACACCTCCCTCTACTCTCCCATCCAGGTACTAACCAGGCCCAACTCTGCTTAGCTTCCAAGATAAGACAAGATTAGGCACGTTCAGAGTGGTATGGCCAAAGACACTCCCTCCACTCTCTATTCCTAGCCCTGCTTTGTTTCTCTTCATGATGCTTATTATAATACTGACATTTTATGTATTTGCTTATTTGTTTGCTATCTTCCCACCCCTCAGCCCCTCCATAGAATGTAACCTCCATGAGAAAAAAGACTATTTGCTTCTGTGTCTTTAGCACCTAGTAGAGTCTTTGGCACATACATAGGGGGCACTCAATAAATATTTGTTAGATGAATGCCTCCCTATATCTTCCTCATGTTTTTCTGTCAGTGAAGTTTTACAGAACAAATAATTTTTGCTTCTGAATAGTCATTCAAAAGTTTAAAGAGGTTTATGTCATCTTGTAAGTTTTTCCATTCCAAGCTAACTTTGACTGCTTCAATATTTCCTTAATTCTTCACTACCTTGTTATTTTTCTCCAGTGTTCTGCTTTAATTTTCTCTTAAAGCATGATGATTATAATTAAATATAATCTTTACAGTAATGCATAAAAGAATAGTATTTTCAATGATCCATAATATTAGTCTTCTATTAATATAGTTTCAAAGAAGTTGTTTTAGCAACCATGTAATACTGTTGGCTCATAAGAAATGCACAGTTAAGTCATGAAGGGCTATATAGAGTTAGAACTTCATTGTCCTGTTGCTACTGATTTTTTTCCAAATATAATATGACTTTTATTCCTTAAGGGGTTTGTGACCATGACTCTGGAAAGCCTAGAGGAAATACAGGGTGTCAGCTGTGCTTGGAAAGAACTTAACAGAAAGCTGAGTAGTAATGCTGTGTCCCAGATTACCAGAATGTGCCTCCTAAAAGGAAATATGGTAGGCTTTTCTAGACAATTAAAAAGCTTTTTAATCAACCATCACAGATGTTTGTAAAGATTAGCAAATATTGTTCTTTTTTTTAAAGTCTAATAGGATGAATAATACTGTTTTCTCTTTGTGTTAGTTTATTTCCAGTTATAAATTTGGGGAGTTTTATATATAACTCAGAGCTGTAAGTCATTCTGCTTAGTTTTAACTAATACCCAAGTTATCTAAGTTTCTGCTCTTGTATACATATTATGTGTGGTTGTGTGTGTTTATTCTTTAAGACTATGTAACTTATGATTGCAACATTAAACAGCTCTAAAACTTAGAGAACATGCTATGTTGGTTTTTAAATGGCCTGCTCTTGGTTGTTAATGAGGATAATGATCTGAATCAAATAAGTATTTTAATACATTCATATAGCAAAATTAAAACTCTGTAATCTTAGTGGCTCTGATTTCTTCTAATGGTTTTGTGAAGATATATTTATTCATCTAACTTTATAGGTTCATTCTAGATTAGAATTTATTAGCTAGATTGTTTATTGGAAATAATCATCTCTTCTCAAAGTTTAATATTACTTCCCTTCAAAATAGATTTGAGGCAATTATGAGAAAATGTACACATTCAGAAAAATTGTAGAGGGGGAGGAAAGTATAACAAGATCAATAGGCAAACTAGTTGCTGTACTTGAGTATTAAATTAACTTTCAATTTATTGTCAACCAAGACCAAAGAGGAAACTTCTTGGGTTACATCAGTCTCATTGTCTGATAAACATTGCAGCTCTTGAGGAATGAAACTTTCTGGAATTTAATTTTCAAAGGAATCTATTAGAAGGATCATTTTACAAGGGACATATCACAACATTATGGCGTTTACAAAAACTCTTGTAGAGAATACTCTAGATTTTTATTAGAAATAGTAGCTTCATTTTAGACATTATGTTTAGTTACTTTTCAGATTTAGAAAATACATTAAGCAGCCACTCTCTGTCATGCATTTTATACTGTGTTATCTATTTTGGTCCTCTAAGCAATCGTGGGACACATCTAATCCTTTTTTTTTGAAAAGCTAATATAAGATTATCAGCAAGTATAAGTTTATTAGTAAAAAAATCAACTTACATGCATCTAAATAAAAATGTTTTTATTTTGCTTTTAGGGTGTTTGCTTTGATGTTCCCACAGCCGAGTCAGAAAGGTTACAGGTATTTTAAAAATTTTATTTGTTAAACGTTTGATTGTGTTTCTCTAATAGGAATTTTTTTGAAAAATATAGTCACAGTATTATTATGCCTAAGTCAATATAAAATATCCAATGTGAATATGTCTCAATTTAAAATTTTTTAATTATAAATAATTTCAAACATACTAAGAAAATAATAGACTTGTATAACGAACCACCATGTACCTGTCACCCAGCTTCAGTAGTTATCAATTCATGGCCAGCTTTGTTTCATCTTAACTTCTATTTACTTCTCCACTTCTGTATTCTTTTTTTTTTTTTTTTTTTTTGAGACAGAGTCTCACTCTTTTGCCCAGCATAGAGTGAGTGCCATGGCATCAGCCTAGCTCACAGCAACCTCAAACTCCTGGGCTCAAGTGATCCTCCTGCCTCAGCCTCCCGAGTAGCTGGGACTACAGGCATGCGCCACCATGCCCGGCTAATTTTTCTATGTATTTTTAGTTCTCTGATTAATTTCTTTCTATTTTTAGTAGAGACGGGGTCTCGCTCTTGCTCAGGCTGGTTTCGAACTCCTGAGCTCAAACAATCCACCCGCCTCGGCCTCCCAGAGAGCTAGGATTACAGGCGTGAGCCACCGCGCCCGGCCCACTTCTGTATTCTTTTAAATCAAATTCTAAGTATTCTATCATTTCAACCATAAATATTTCCACGTATCTAAAGAATTTTATTTTATTATTTTTTTAGAGACAGGGTCTTACTCTGTTGCCCAGACTGGAGTGCAGTGGCACAATCATAGCTTACTGTAGCTTCAAACTCCCAGGCTCAAGTGATTCTCCCACCTCAGTTTCCTGAGTAGCTGGGACTACAGGCGTGTGCTATCATGCCTGGTTAATTTTTTAAATATAACAAACTTTATTGCTTCTTTTTTAAGACAGAGTCTCACTCTGTTGCCCAGGCTAGAGTGCCGTGGCATCAGCCTAGCTCACAGCAACCTCAAACTCCCTAGGCTCAAGCGATCCTCCTGCCTCAGCCTCTCCAGTAGCTGGGGCTATAGGCGCTCACCACTATGCCCAGCTGGTTACTTATTTTTTTTATTTGTATTGTTTTTTGAGAGAGGGTCTCACTCTGTTGCCTGGGCTAGAGTGCAGTGGTGTCATAATAGCTCACTGCAACCTCCAACTCCTGGGCTCAGGTGATCCTCCTGCCTCAACTTCCCAAGTAGCTGGGACTGCAGGTACATGCTAAGGTTAATTTTAATGACTCCCTAGCATTTAGCCATATGGGTGGCTAATTTTCTTAACCAATGTCCTATTTTCTGAAATTTAGATTGTATTATTTATATATATAATATATATATATTATATAAGCAGGACTGCCCTGAATATTGGTATAGCTACTTCTTCATGCATTGCCATGTTAATCTCTTTAAGATGAATTTTTAAAAGTGACTGCTTGGCCAAAAGGTTTGTGCATTTTTTTTTGGCCTGTGTTTTATTACCATCTGAAACTGGGAGAGAGATGGGGTGGGGGAGGGATCAAGAATTTGGGAGCAGGTGGGAGGTACTGTCCCCCTCAGGAAACACAGCTTCAAGGTGGAAGAATTGGGTTTGTACATTTTTAAGACTTTAGTCATATATTGCCAAGCCCACCAGTGGTGTGTGTTGATATTTGTCTCTTCCCATCCTTATCAACAGAGTGTCTTAATATAACTTTCGTTGGCAACTCACAATTATAATGAAGAACAGTTAATGTATTAATATAATAGCAAGATATAACATAGTGATGCTCTTATGAGCTACTGATTTGTATATCTTGAGTTTGTTTACTCCAGTACCAAATTATTTCCAATGGCTACATTTTATGGTACTTAGCTGGCGTTGACAGGTGTTTAATCTCCATCATTAGTTTCTTTACTCCTTGCTTCTGTCAGTACACTTGCTGAAAACAATGCACTACTTATTAATGGCCCATCTGATTTGTGCTGAGAAACCAGATTAGTAGTACTATCTTAAAGAATGTATAAACTAAATATGAATTTAGAGTCTTGAAATGGGCCTGAGAGTTTCTTGTGAGACTAAAACTTAGGAACTTCAGTGAATGAGTTTTAAACATGTTTTTATTTTGCTTATTTTCCAGTTTTCATTTTTGTTCCAGACACTTTGAATTTAACATGTAGATATCCTTTAGCCAATAAACAACAGATATGAAAAAGGTGTCTCATACTCATGTGCTTGCTTATGGTTTCTATTTTGCATTTATATTAATCCTGTAAATTCCTCTAACAGGCAGAGTGGCATGATTCAGACTGGATACTCTCAGTGCCGTCCAAACTGCCTGAAATTGAAGAATATTATGATGGAAACACATCTTCTAATTCCAGACAGAGGAGTGGTTGGTCAAGTGGACGGTCGGGCCGGTCGGGCCGGTCAGGTGGTCGATCTGGTGGCCGGTCAGGTAGACAGAGTCGACAGGGGAGTCGCTCAGGAAGTCGACAAGATGGTAGAAGACGAAGTGGGAATAGAAATCGATCAAGAAGCGGGGGCCACAAACGGAATTTTGATTGAGTATTGGATAGTTAATCTACCAGTGTGAGCTTGCCTATTTCTGCCTAATCATGTACATGATCCACCAAAAATTAGGTCATCATAGTTGAGGTATGTGTATGCTATTTGCAAAGAAGTTGGTCGTATTTTTTTAAAAAGTATTTCACAAGAATGGTTGTAAACAAATCTACTTATCCAGTTATACCTTTGAATAAAAAAAACCTCCTTTTATTGTCTCTTTTCACTATGCGTTTAGAATTTTCTCAATGTAATCTTTTAGAATTCTTCTAATCTTGGTAGTCAAGTTAATCTCACTTAAGGTTACTTGCATTTTACAAAATGTGGTGTATGTATATTCAGATCATTCCTTCCATAGCTTGTGTGACAGAAAATAAGAAATCCCTTCTACATTAAAGGGCTGTAAAACTGGTGACATGGTTAATTAGGTGTAGCATTTTAAATTCTAAATATAATTAAAAGGGTGTACAAGAAGTGCACACACATTAATTTATTCAACAGATACTTACTGAATTTCTACTATGTGTCCATTATTATGCTAATCACTGGGGAATATAGTTGTGAACAAGGTATAGTAGCTGTCCTCAAAGAATTTACAGTCTAAGAGACAAGCAATTAGGACAGATTAACAAAGGCCAAGACAGTGGAAGGTATGGAATGCTAAGGACCTAGTTGGGGTGTACCTAACCAGTTTTAGGAGTCAGGAAGACTTCAGAAGTGATAACAAAGAAACAAAGCAGAAGTATCAGTTGATAAGCCACATGTATATGTAGGTGGAAAGAGGAGTTTAGAAGGGAAAGGACTTGTAGGGAGAGAGAACAAGTTGTATGTGGAACCTAGAAGCAAAGAATAACATTGTAAGTCTGAAGACTTACTTAGTTCAGCAGGGTTTCATGTGATAGGCAGAGGACAGGAATAAGAGAAGGATTTAACAGGGACCGGATTTTGGCTGGGTGCGGTGGCTCACGCCTGTAATCCTAGCACTCTGGGAGGCCGAGGCGAGAGGATTGCTTGAGCTCAGGAGTTCAAGACCAGCCTGAGCAAGAGCGAGACCCCGTCTCTACTAAAAAAAGAAATAAATTAGCTGGACAACTAAAAATATATATAGAAAAAATTAGCCGGGCATGGCTAATTAGCGTGCCTGTAGTCCCAGCTACCCGGGAGGCTGAGGCAGAAAGATCACTTGAGTCCAGGAGTTTGAGGTTGCTGTGAGCTAGGCTGACGCCATGGCACTCTAGCCCGGGCAACAGAGTGAGACTCTGTCTCAAAAAAAAAAAACAAAAAACAAACAGGGACCGGAGTTTAAAGGCCTTACGTGCACTGTTAGAGAGTTTAAAACTTTTCTTGAAGATAGTGGGGAACTATTAAAGGGTTTAAAGTAAGGAGTAACATGATTAGGTTTACATTTTAGAAAGATCGCTGGCTACACTGAGGAGACTGGATTGGAGAAAGGCCAGAGTGGAGGCCAGGAGACCTCTTGAGAGGCTGTAGGAGTAATTTAAGGTAGAGATGGTAGTGATCTGAACTAAGGCTAGTAACATATTTTGAGGGATGAGTCACAGCTGGATAATATGTATTGGAATGAGGATTTAAATCCAGAAAAGTCTAGCTTCTGAACTAGCATTCTTAACCACTGTGCTAAATAGTGGCAGTGGACATTGAGAAACATGGATAGATTCCAGAGGTTTTAGGAGATAGAATTGTTAGGACTCAGATATTCTCTTGGAAGATGAGAGAGAGGCAGATGAATGAAATATGTATTTCTCTCACCGAGATAGGGTACTAGGAGGAAGAGTAATAAATGTTGTATGGGAGCCCGGCATGGTGGCTCACACCTGTAATCCTAGCACTTTGGGAGGCCTAGGCAGGAGGATCGCTTGAGGCCAGGAGTTCAAGACCAACTTGAACAACATAGTGAGACTCCATGTCTACAAAAAAATAGAAAAATTAGCTGGGTGTGGTGGCATGCTCCTATAGTCCCAGCTATGCAGGAGGCTGAAGTGGGAGGATTGCTTGAGCCCAGAAGTTTGAGGTTGCAGTGAACTGTGATGATGCCACTGCACTCTAGCCTGGGCAACAGAGTGAGACCCTGTCTCAAAAAAAAAAAAAAAATTATATGGGGATGAAGTGGGAATATGATTAGTTCAGGATTAGATATATTTTAATATTGAATAGCCCATAAGATATGTAAGAGAAAATAAAGAATAGACAACTGGATTATAGGTCTGAAGCTCAGGAGAGATATTTGTTCTAGAGATACAGGTTTGGGAATAATAAAAAATTATAATTGTGATTAGGGTAGTAGATGAGGTTATTGATGGAAAGTATAGTTAGAAAAGAGGACTGAGGAAGGAAGCCAGAGTCACACCAATGTACTTCATACAGAGTAGAAGAAAGGGGATCCCAATGAGAAGGGATAATGAGAAGATGGTAGAAACCCCAAGAGTATTTAGCTTTCAAAGGAACCAGGAGATAAGCTTCTCCTTGAGGCCACTGGATTTGGCAAAAAGGAAACTTTTGACATAGCAGCAACCATACTAGTAAGAGTATTGAGAGTAGAAGCCATTTAGCAGTGAAGTAGGAAATGGGAAATAACACCTCTTTCAGAAATTTGGCTGTGAATAAGGAAAAATAAGCTAAAGCTGGAGGTAGAAGACGGGACATGAGATTGTGGTGAAGATTTGGTGGGGGAGGGTGTGGGGAATATTGAAGCATGTTGAAGTACTATGGGAAGAAGCCAGAAAGGAGGGAGGGCAATGTGAAGATTCAGGAGAAGGAATATATGATGGAGCAAGATCCCTATGAAGACCCAGAGGGACAAGATCAAGCACACAACTGGAGATTTTAGGCATAGATGGCAGAAGCACATCTCTTAACATTTTGTTAGGAGAAAAGTACGATTATCTTGCAGGTATTAAGGTAAAAAGAGACTGTAACTTGTAGTGGCTACATTTAGAACAATTGGTTGATTTCCTGTAGCAACACGCAGCATTTTGTTGCTGGAATGGAGATGGGAAATAGTTGATTGACCCACGATTGGGGTTTTGCTTTGTGAATAAGAGGATGACAAGGTAAAGATGTTGAGGCCTCAAAAAGTGATTGGAGTAATGGTCCATGGAGTGTAGATTGCTGAGGGATTGAAGTGGAGATGGGGTTGATAACGGAGAATGTAGAAAGGGCAAGAGTCTGAAGGTCCATGAGGGCTGTCTGAATTTAAGATTTCAAGAATGGAGCAATTGGGGAGAAGACAAGTGCAGGGTATGATGGTAGGCCACTTGGGGGCAAAGGTCATTTGAGGTGATTAAGGAACTGCAAAGCAGTGGGTACCTGAGTGGTATTCATGGACAGTGAAGTCTCCTGGGATGAAAACAAGTCAGGACTGAGAAGGAAGGAAGACTAAATCAGGTTCCAAAATATCAACAAATGATGGATGTTGGTAAATTACCCGAATGAGGAGGGGTATAGAGTAACATTCTACTTACCTTCAAAGGGACAAGAGCTTTTATATGAAACTGAAGGAGTAATGGTTTAGAAATGGGTTTAAGGAAAAGAGGACACTGATGCCAACTGAGATACGTGCAATGTGAGCGACATCTGTGTGAAAAAGCTTGCAGAGGGTGTATTTTTAAGAAAGAGCCAGATTTCAGTTAAGCCAAGGAGGAGGGAAGGACTGGATCAGTGCTGGATCCAGTGCTGGATCGAGGAAGGGAGAAGTTTTGATTATGGGGAACAGTGGTGCAGACAGCCATGATTGTGGAGGGGAGGGGAACCTCAATTGGCTCTGCATTTGAGTAACAGTTCTAGATTTCTAACCCACATGAAATAGGGGCTCCATTCCTACTAAGTTGCATGAGTACTAGTACATTGAGTCAGGGCATGTGTGCCTACAGTGTCTCAGGCATCATGTTTTGGGTGAATAACATAATAAGCCCCATTCATACAACAGAATGCTAGGTGTTGTTACAGGAAACCACTCAGTTGCTCTAATTGTAGCCACTACAAGTTGTCTCTAACTTTTTACCTTAAGACCTGCAAGATAATTATACTTTTCTCCTGACAAAATGTTAAGAGATGTGCTTCTGCCATCTAAGGCTAAAATCTCTAGTTGTGTGCTTGTCCAGTCTCTGCACTAAGGAGATCAGAATCTAGTGAAATAGATGGACACATAAACCTTGGTCCACAGCAATGACTAAATGAAGTGATTTGTGAATTCAGCAAGGGCACCCAGCTCAGGAATCGGAGTGGGGATTCAGAGAAAGCTTTTTAGGTCTGATGATTGAGCCTTAATTAAGTCAGGTAAAAAACAGGTTAGTGGGAATGGGCATCCAGGCAAAAGTACAGAAAGGCTGAGAAAACAACATAGTCTGAGTATGGGGAACTATAAGTAGCTCTTGTTGCTGGGATTGTCACTGTGAGGAAAGCAGTGGTGAGAACAAGAGTCCTATCTTGGAAGCCTTATTTTGGACAGCCATTGAAGGGTTTCAGGGACAAATGAAAAAGACAAGTGTGTAGGTAAATTCTAGCAGGGTGGATGGATTGAAGGGATCTACCTACTAAAGGTCAGCTTCCCTGTTAGCAAGGGTCCTAACAAAAATAATAGCTGTCCATATCTTTTGAAAGGAAGATGGGACAGGGCAAATTTTTCATCAAACTCCCAGTTTTGGGCTGCATTCAGCTACAAGTATCTTTTCTGTGCTCCTTCCTTTTGGAACCCATCACCTTCATGACTCTACTTTTTGGCTTTTGGCCTCCTGTTTGGTATTCTGTCCTCTAGTTGGTTACTTAACAGCTGTTTGAACTTGAATCAGTTACCCTGATCTTTGGTTTTTGAATTTATAAGTGAAATAGCATCTATTTTATTCTCCTCAGCATTTTAAGTTTGAATAATGAATTCACATTTTAGGTGTGAATGTCTTGAGAGCCTTCTCTCACATTGTTTCCTATGTTTGGGGGGTAGTGCTTAACATTAGTTTTTTTAAAACCATATTCCATTTTTTTCTTATTAGTATACATGTCCATTGTTGAGAATCTGAAAAAATAGAATAGTAAATGGAATAAAATAAAAAAACACCCATAATCACATTACTCAGAGATAACTACTGCTAACATTTTCTTGTGTGGACTTTTGAATTCAATGTGTGTGCAAGCGTGTGTGTGTATACATACTTTTTAAAACAGAAATTCTCCCCCTAATTTTATGATAACATTACGTCACCTAGATCAGAGGAAACTGGTCTGGCAGAATCAGTATTCAAACAGAACTTCACATTTCCTATCAAATATATATACAATTCTTCTACTTGTTCCTGAGTTGTATAGTGATAATTTGGCCACCTGTGGTCAAAGGGGCCTTTTGCATGTTTCCTCTTGGAATTTTGGGTTTGTGCGTATGTACAGGTATGTTACAAAGGAACTTAAATACTTTGTAAGCTTTGACAGCAATTTTCCACTTAGTAGTGTTCTGGGGCTTACTCTCTTGTTGAACATCTGTTGGTAATAAAAACATTTCCCTGTACTGTATACAACAGTATCAAGTATAGCAGCATTACATAGTTTCGTGGTTTATCAACCAGACTGCACGTTCCTTGAAGCAAGGACTAGGTCTTCACTTATGTACTCACTCCAAAGTCCTTGGTACAATGGTGAAATCCCAGATGTTAAGCATTTTATTGGTCAATTGGTGGATTGCATTCATGCTTGCTTTCCCTTCTTTCACATCTAATACCAGGATAATGGAAGTGTTTTCCTACCTGGACATACAGCTAAAATTTATTTCAAGAAGTTCCCCTATACCACTGCCATGTTAATGTTCAACAAACACTTAATGACAGATTACTATGTGCCAGGCACTTTCTGAAATTTTGATGACACAAAGATGGATAAATCAAGGATCCTGGCTCAAGGCTATCACAGAGTTTAAGCTAAAGCATTGTTGCATGTTTACACAAATTGTTAAAATTGAGATGTGAAACAATAGTAGTTCAAATAATAGTTTAGGTGAAACAAAATTTTTCCTTAAAACTCTCAGATTGAAAAAACTAATGTCTTTGAGGGCAGTGCTCAGACAAAAAAAAAAAACAAAAACAAAACAAACCTAATCTCAGCTAGGCGCAGTGGCTCATGCCTGTAATCCTATCACTCTGGGAGGCAGAGGTGGGAGGATTGCTCGAGGTCAGGAGTTCGAGACCAGCAAGAGCGAGACCCCGTCTCTACTAAAAATAGAAAAAAAAGACTAGCCAGTCAACTAAAAATAGAAACAAAAAATTAGCCGTGCGTGGTGGCTCACGCCTGTAGTCCCAGCTACTTGGGCGGCTGAGGCAGGAGGATCACTTGAGCCCGGGAGTTTGAGGTTGCTGTGAGCTAGGCTGACGCCAGGGCACTCACTCTAGCCTGGGCAACAAAGCGAGACTCTGTCTCAAATAAAATAAAATAAAATAAAATTATAATAAAATAAATAAAAAACCTAGGCTGGGCGTGGTGGCTCACGCCTGTAATCCTAGCACTCTGGGAGGCCGAGGCGGGCGGGCGGATCGTTTGAGCTCAGGAGTTCAAGACCAGCCTGAGCAAGAGCGAGACTCTGTCTCTACTAAAAAAATAGAAAGAATTAATTGGACAGGTAAAAATAGATAGAAAAAATTAGCCGGGCATGGTGGCGCATTCCTGTAGTCCCAGCTACTCGGGAGGCTGAGGCAGGAGGATCGCTTGAGCCCAGGAGTTTGAGGTTGCTGTGAGCTAGGCTGACGCCATGGCACTCTAGCCCAGGCAAAAGAGTGAGATTCTGTCTCAAAAAAACAAAAAACTAATCTCATGAAACACAGAAATAAAACTTCCAAAATTTTCCTTTGTCATAAAATGTAATATTTTCAATTGTCTTTCCAAACATTTGTGACACACCTATGAGTTTTAATGGCTCTCATTTATTGTGCTCTATGTTCCAGGCAATGCCAAATCTTTCCATCCATTATCTTATTTTCTTAACTGATGAAATAGTTAAAAAAAAAAAGAGAGAGAGAGAGACAGGGTCTTGCTCTGTCACCCAGGCTGGAATCCAGTGGTAGTACGATCATAGCTCACTGCAGCATCAAACTTCTGGGCCGAGGAGATCCTCCACCTCAGCCTCTCTCTTAGCTGGGACTACAGGCTTGTGCCACCACACCCAGATGATTTTTTAAATTTTATTTAGAGAGGGGACCAGCCACATTTCTGATCTGGAACTCCTGGCCTCAAGCAATCCTGCCTCAGCCTCCCAAGCAGCTGGGATCACAGGGAAGAGCCACCGGGCCTGGCTGAAGTAGATTTTGTTATCCCCATTTCATGCAGGAGAAACTCTGGTTCAGATTAAGTAACGTGTCCGAAATCACAGCAAACAGTGGCAAAGGTAGATTTTCAAAGCCAGATATGATTCTAACCCATTTTTCAATCTACTATGATAAACTGTCTCCCAATTCTTTGGATCACTAGTTCTTCAGAAAAACAATAGTCATTGATCATTCAATGGGCCACTTTCCCTTAACTGCTTGAAAATTATGCATGACTAAGAACACCCGTGAAATTCTAATTAGGGTCTACACGATTTGGATTCCCTTTCCACAGGCCGGTTTAGGTGCCTCTCCTCGGTGCCTTAAAAACAACCAACACTGTCTCTCCCACCAGTCTATAAAGCTTCTTCAGGACAAGGCTTGTGTGTTTTCTGCTAGGGAATCCTAGCCACGTTTCTCATACCGGACACAGTGAATGCTGAGGGGATGTTTGGTGAGTGCACGCACGCATGAATGAAGGAACAGACCCGACTGAATTCCGGTTCTTCTCCAGGCTCGTGAGTTTGGCCGTCACCCTTTAGAGTCGACGTTTCCACAAGATGCTTAAGAACACGTATCCGGCGCGTCAGTACGTAAAAGGACCCTTCAAACTCAAGCAATCTAATATAAAGCACGGACGAAGCGCCACTCAAAAGCAACTAAAAGCCTTCATTTATCAGGCTGGGACTAGGGAAGACCTGGCCAGTGTTTGAATGAGAATACCAAGATAACCTTCGTGACTTCTTCCAGCTCCGCCCTCCTGCAGGTGCCTTTTAGTGTCCAAGGGCTGTAAGCAGTCGATTCATGGAGCCCAGCCGCACGCAGCGTCCAGAGCTTTGCATTTACGAAGCGGACGCCAGCCTACCTTGGGCTTCCTGCTTCCGCCGGAAATGCTTTGCTACAGGAAGTGACGAAAGCTGGGTGTAGTCGAGGGGCGGCGCTGTCTCTTCCTCTCCACGCGGTTGAGGAGACCGGTCGGCCTGAGGAGCTTGTGCTGAATAATGCCGGGAAAACTCCGTAGTGACGCCGGTTTGGAATCATACACAACCGTGAAAAAAGTAGAAATGCTGCGAAAACAAGCCGAGAAGGTGATACTGCGGGACCTGGGGCGAGGCCGGGCCAGGGCCGGGGCGCTGAGAAGAGCGGGGCCCTTGGGGAACGAGGGAAGTGCCCGGTCTGGGAACGTGTAGCGCGCGGCGAGGAGCAGCACGTCCAGAGCCCAGGCGTGGGTCTCGGCAAGCGGTGCCCAAGAGGAGTGCTCTCCTGGGCCAGTGGGCGCGTTGCCGGCCGGACAAAGCTGGGTCCGCCGCACGCCGACCTCTTTTTCTCGGCTTTTACCTAACCACGGGTCCCAGGAGCTCTGGTCTAGAGGCCCGATCGGACAAGGGAGAGGGCCGGGCGTCCCACGTGGTCCCAGGCGACTGGGCGCCCAGCACCCTGTGCGCAGAGTTAGACGTTCAAGCTTAGACCCCAAGTTCTTGGATCAGTCTTAACTCGCGGTGTGAGCGTGCGCGAAGGGAATTATAAAATCAACTCAAAATGGGGACTGAAGCTTTAGACCAGCGAGATCTTAATTAACCTCATCTGTGCACGTGGGCGGTGTCTGCAGTGATGTTCTTTTTACCACTACTAAGGGAAGTACGGTTTGTTTTCCGGTAAGCAACCCTTAGAAGATGACGTAATTCATTCAGTTCCTCTTAGTATTTATTGACCAGATTTCTCATGGAGATATAAAGACCTGTTGTGGTGCTAACTATACACCATATTTTTTTAATAGAGGCCGGCAGTGTGCAGTACGTCATAAAATACCTTGACAGCCGTCTGCATCTTTGCTGTTGCTTCCTTAGATAGTGATTTAACTTGTGATTGAGTCTGTTCTGAGATAAAGTCAGTGGGAACAAAGATTGTTCCTGAATTTGCATTGTACATGACTTAGGATTCTCTTTCCTTGTTGTTTTTGTCTTTTTGATGTAGAGCTCTTACAACAGCAATATTTTGGCATTGTAGGAAGCCGCGGGAGGGCAAATTTGTACCCACGGGTGGGGAGGTAGTGGTCAGAATGTGTTCAATGTGTGCAAAATGTGGGATGCTCAAATCGAAAGGGACATGACCAAACTGCATTACATTCCAAAAAAGACCACCAGGATGGGAAACTCACTCCTGTTTAATTGATGGAACTAAGGGATGAAAGAACTGAAATCTTGAGGGGAGACTAGTTTGTTTTTCATAAATCTGAAGGATGGTCATGTGGCAGAGAGATTACCCTTAATCTATGATTCCAAAGCAGAGGCAAGTACTGAAGTTTCAGGGAGGCAGATTTTAGCTCAATATAATAGTCTCCATACTTGCGGGATTGGCGTGGGGCTCTGCTAGAAAGGTTCTTAGGAGGCTACACTGCCTAATTGTTTTTGTAACATGAAGAGTTGGAGAGGATCAGAAATTTCAGATAGGATCCATAGTCACCTGTCTGCTTTGGTTTTGAGGTTTCACCCCTTCCATATCCTTGTAACTTGTGTATTTATTTTGTTTTACTTAAATTAGGTACTTTTTTTATGTATAGGATGATAGATTGTCAATTTTTATAGCTTTTTGTTTCATAAAGTGTCTTTATGTAAATCCATTTGCTCTTGTGAGATAGACAAGTCACAGATATTATGAATTCCAGTTATACCTGGAATTTTAGCAGGGAGAAAGAAAAATCTCTTTTAACATCATTTGTCTATGGACATATATGGGCTTATTACTCTATCAGAATTAAATTTAACCTTGATCACTTTCTATAGTGTTTAGGTTAGAGCCTGTTGGAGTATCTAATGAGCTACTCCAAGTCCCTTATGAAAATCTGGTTTTATAATTGTTCAGCCACGTGACTTCAATAGTTACTAAGAGGTACTTTTGATTTTCCAAACTAATGAAACTGTTGAATATACTTACCTCCATAAAATGGCCCAAAATTTTGTTTATCATAATTGACAGTGATCTTGAAATAGTCCAGAATTGATAAATTACACAAATGTATAAATGCCTTGTTTAGGGTTTGTGTTTTCTCTATTAATTTTTTAGAAAGATAGAAGAGAGAAGACAAAATCGAATAATACTGAAGAGGCAGCAGAAGAGGAAGAAACTATTCCCTCCACAGCTAAACGAGTTAAAAAGAAAGCAGGTCCTTCTGAGGTTGACATGAACTCTCCTAAATCCAAAAAGGCAAAAAAGAAAGAGGAGCCAACTCAGGATGACATTGTTTCTGCTAAAACCAAAAGTGTGAAAAAGAAAAAGGAGCCCTTGGAAAAGAAAGTTGTTTCTCCTGAAACCAAAAATATAATCAGTGAGGAGCCTTCTGAAGAAGAAATAGGTGCTTCTAAGCCCAAGAGGATGAAGAAAGAAAAAGAAGTGAATGGAGAAATAGAAGAGAAGAGCCCAGAACTGAAGAATGGATTCTCTCATTCTGAACCTGACTCTAACTCTAATGAAGCTACCAGTGAAGAAAGTAACAGTGAGATAGAACAGGTAAAGTTTCACTTTAAAGATAGAATATATCTTTCATTGTTGTTTTTGATAAATAAGTAGGCAGTTGCTACACATACTATTTAATAGTAGGAGAAAATTTGATATGTCACCACCTCATGGGTGGGGCTGTGGGGGAATGCCTTGAGGTGCAGAGTACGACTTCATCTTAAAAGTTATGTGGTGTCAGAATGCCTCCTCTGCAAATATGCAGGTCTGTTGAAGATTAGTGATGGTCTTGGTCTGCTTATTTGCAAGTCAGACATCAACAAAAAGATATAGCTGTATAAATGGATCCTAGTTTCCCTCTAAGGGGTTTAATAAATCATAATTAAGTGGAACCCCTGAAAAGGTGCTTGCTTGATTGCATAAATCTTTTTGTTCAGGCCATTAACTAACCTGAGTTGAAAAGGATGATTAAATGTCCAGAACCTAATATCTGTTATCTTTCAGAAACTTAGTCATGAAAGAAAAATCCTAATGCTGATTTTCTATTTGCTATAGGTCATGATCAACATTTATAATATTTTTTCCTGATTGTAAAAAAATACGTGATTTAGACAATTTAGAAAATGTTGAAATTTATAAAAAAGATCCCTAGAATTTCAGCATGCATTCAAGCTGTAAATATTAAGCACTTTTCAGGTACAGAGGTAATCTGTTGTTAAATTTTGATGTTTCCTTACAGTACTTTTTATGTATGCATCTATTATTTTTTAATCAGATTAAGAATGTACTATATGCCATGTTGTATCCTGACTTTTCTGTTTTCGTATAAGCATTTTCCCATTTTTAAATATTTAATATGTTTAAAGGTTATATAATCCATCATATAAATGTTTAGAAATTCATTTAATTATTCCTTTTGCTGAACATTCAGATTTTTTTACTATCAAATAATGTCACAGTGACCACTAACTCATAAATGCTTGTTCCTTATTTTCCGTGGATGTGTGTATACAAGAGATGCTGTAGAAAATAGTTCTTAGTTGAGACAAATCTTCCTTTACTCGTCATACATATGTGCAGTATATGTTTGCTATAGATTTTTCTTTTGTTAGGATTTTATAAACTATTTCCTTTTCAAGTCTCAATTTGTATACCAAGATTTTTGTGTCTTGTTGGTCGGTTTTAAACTGATGTGTTGAGAACAGTTGCTTTTGAATAGCTTTTTTTGTTTGTTTCTTTCTTAGAAGGTTTCTCTGTATTACCTTGTATGGGTAGTTCTTGATTTCTTTCTGTGGCCCTTTACTTTATAGGAAATACCTGTGGAACAGAAAGAAGGAGCTTTCTCTAATTTTCCCATATCTGAAGAGACTATTAAGCTTCTCAAAGGTAATATTCTTGGAAATATTATACAATGTTAGAACATATTATTTTAAAGCGTTCTACTGTTTTTGTTGAGATGAGCCAGGACATATTCTTAATGTCGGATAGATAATCTGTATGTAACTGTATAATGAAGTAGACCTGTATATTCAGTATAGGACTATTGTAGTGATGATCTTTGCTGCCTCTTAAACAAGTGATTAAAATTTATTCAGTACAATATGTATATTCAGAAGTGTAATGATCAATAGTGTTGGTGAAGTTAAACAATTAGTTGATACCATCTTGGGATGTTTTTTTTTTTCTCCTCTTCCACTTCTTCAGGCATCTCTAGGTTAATGACACCGGCCTGACTCAACTCATCTTAACAGTCTGTGAAACTAGCTAGATAGTTACAGATGCTCAACTAGGTGCTTTTTAAATCAGGTACAGCACAATCTGGACTGCAGAACACCAAATTTTCAGGCTTATCTTGGCCTGTGGAAGAAATTTCATGACAACTTAATCTGTTAAAATAATAAATAATAATGTAATTTGGTACTTTTAAGTGTTGGTGATATTTTGTAATCAGGTTTTTTACTGTCAGAATATATTTGAGGTAATCCTAGCACTCTGGGAGGCCAACATGGGAGGTTTGCTTGAGGTCAGGAGTTCAAGACCAGCCTGAGTGAGAGTGAGACCCCGTCTCTACTAAAAATAGAAAAAATTAGCTCGGTGTGGTGGTGTGTGCCTGTAGCCCCAGCCTCTTAGGAGGCTGAGGGAGGAGGATCGCTTGAGTGCAGGAGTTTGAGGTTGCTGTGAGCTAGGCTGATGCCACGGCACTCTAGCCCGGGCAGCAGAGTGAGACTGTCTCCAAAAAAAAGAATATATTTTAGCCTAACTTTGTAGATGTTGACCAGAAGGTAGAATTCCTTAATTCTGCAGGACCAGAAGCATGAGTGTGCTTCAGTCCTTCAGGATGGCTGTTATTTTAGGAATTGCAGGTGTCAGGTAACACAGTCATTTGTTCACAGGCCGAGGGGTGACTTTCCTGTTTCCCATACAAGCAAAGACTTTCCATCATGTCTACAGTGGGAAGGACTTAGTTGCACAGGCACGGACAGGAACTGGGAAGACATTCTCCTTTGCCATCCCTTTGATTGAGAAGCTTCAGGGAGAACTGCAAGACAGGAAAAGAGGTCGTTCCCCTAAGGTAACTAAACACATGTCTCAGGGGCTCCAAATCAGCACAGAAAAAAACATCTCTTGGACTGTGTTTACATACCCTACTATTTATTATTGTGTTCTTATAGTCACCCGTTATATTTACTGTGGATCTTTTTCTAAAGGATAAACCAGGATAATTCTTAAGACTGTTGGCCACAAACTCTGTACGTGTAAATGTTGTAATTTGTTGCATTGTTGTGATCGTCTATATTAATAATGCTCATCATATTCCCTTCAAACAGTTAGTTGTCCCTGGGACTCACAACATTGGTCAAGTGTCTTTGACCATTTTTGCTTAGATGGAGAAAGCATTTGTAGTAGAGACCGATGAATAGAAGCAGGGCACTCAGAGAGGTGAAGAGGCTAAGGCCCCTTATCAGGATGGTGTCCATTGGGCTCATTTCTAGAGAACCTGGCATTTGGCAAACTTTAACCTCACCGATAAACCTGGGATGTCCATGTTGTCACATCGATTGTGGGTTCTTGCAGTTGTCTTTCTGTCCTTACCTCACTTGCTCACTGGCCTTCCAGTGTTCATGCTCCTCCCATCATTAATTCATTTGTTTACTGCTATGTCCCTAGCACCTAGAATAGTGCTGCCTGGCACATAGTAGATGGTCATTAAATATCTTTTGGATGAATGTATTAGATTGTCCTGAAGTCACATTTGTTTCATGCTGCTACCCTTCTCAAGGATTTGTAGTAGTTTCATGTTGTATGTCTTGGATCAAACACAGACTGCTGTAGGATTCAAAGCCTCTTTCAGTTTTGGCCTTATTACCTAACTTTTTTCTCCTTTAAATTCACTATAATGTAGAAGTTAAGCCTATAGGTTTTGAGGCCCAGTTGCCTGAAGGCACATAAAGTATTTAGTGGAGCCTGTAAAAGCTCAGTATCATTCCTTGCTCAGGTTGTTCTTTTCTTGGAATGCTATTCCTTGAGGACTGGTAGCTCTATAAAACTTTTCCCAATTTCTCCAGCCTGCTGGAGTACCATACATTTGGGCATCTGCTTCTCTTCTGATAGGTAAGACCTGGTAACAGGCTTTCCTTAGGGAGAATATTTGTCAGGAACCGTATTATATTTGTGATCCTTCCACACATACAGTTCACTGTAAAGCACATAATAGATGTTTTGAAAATACTTGTTAGGATGAACTGAACTTTCTTGTGAATTCCAAATTGATTAAGAAACAACTGAATTCAATTATTTTTCCTTTTCAGGTACTAGTTCTTGCACCTACAAGAGAGTTGGCAAATCAAGTAAGCAAAGACTTTAGTGACATCACAAAAAAGTTGGCAGTGGCCTGTTTTTATGGTGGGACACCCTATGGAGGTCAAAGTAAGTAAATTTTAAAGTGAGGAAAGGAAAATGCCATCCGTTGTTGGATATCCTGATCGGATTTCTTCTGGCTTTGACATCTGGCTTCTTTACCTTCTACTCATTTAAATATGGCCAAGAACATGGTCCTGCATGATGATGAGCAAATCCCGTATATGGTTCTTAGGACTTTTGTATTATCTATCTATATTTTTATCTAGAGGCTACAAAGGTAACTTACTGAACCCAAGACAACAGCATCTAGTTGGGTCCTGGGAACCAGAAAGCCAGAATTCAAGATTATTCTTTTTATCGATCTGAACCTTGGGTTTCTGCCCTTTTTTTTGCATCCTTGCCTCTTTCTTGCATAGACAGGCTTTCTTTGCTTGGGGCCCAGGGCCCAAATGTTACAGCCCCTGCTCTAATATTCCATTACTTGCCAGTTCAAGACCTTGGAGCTTTATTATGTAGAGCAGATACATAAATCAGGAAAGGATTTAAGGCATTGAAAAACATCTTAGCTTTGGCACACAAAGCTCGTGGTTATGTCTTTCTAGCTGTGGTGGAATGAACATAGGGTTTGGCATCACAAGGACCTGAATCTAGACCCTGCTCACAGAGTAGCTGTGGTGTTCAAGTTCAAACTGCTTAATTTTTCTGCCCTTTAGTTTCCTCATCTGTGAAACAGGATTACTAAACCCACCCTGCAGGGGTGTTGTGGAGATTGGATGGGATAGTGTTTGTAAAGTGCCTAACGAGATCCCTAGACTACAGTAGCAACTCAGTAAAAAGCTACATTATTACCATCTCATCCCAGTTATATTGAACTTCATTTTTCACAGTGTCTTTATACCTTCTTGGAATATTTGCCCTTCCATCTCCTGTCTCATCCTCCCTATACCTGCTTGCCTTATAGAAAGTTACTGTTTCTTTAAGATTCTTATCCTCAGTTTATCTGTGAAACCTAGATACTTTCCACCAACCAAGGAAGTCATTTCTTTCCAGTGCTACCATCCCCCAGTGGTGCATTTTTCTTTTATGTCACTTCATAAACCAGACTGTCACTTCTTACATGTTTTTCCCACTAGATAAAGAGCGCCTTGAGTATCTTTATCTTCATTACTTAACATGTTACTTTGGCTGGGCACAGTGGCTCACGGCTGTAATCCTAGCACTCTGGGAGGCTGAGGCGGGAGGATTGCTTGAGGTCAGGAGTTCGAGACCAGCCTGAGCAAGAGTGAGACCCCGTCTCTACTAAAAATAGAAAAAAAATTAGCCAGTCAACTAAAAATAGAAACAAAAAAATTAGCCTGGCATGGTGGCTCACCTGTAGTCCCAGCTACTCGGGAGGCTAAGGCAGGAGGATGGTTTGAGCCCAGCAGTTTGAGGTTGCTATGAGCTAGGCTGACGCCATGGCACTCACTCTAGCCAGGGCAACAAAGTGAGACTCTGTCACAAGAAAAAAACAAAAACATACTACTTTGTAGTCGGTAGTTGTTTAATAAATATTTTAGAATGGCAGTACATTCTGATACCTACACTGATAAAAGACTTATTAAAAACCCAGCAAATCTTGTCATTGGTGCTCTTTACAGTTGAACGCATGCGGAATGGGATTGATATCCTGGTTGGGACACCAGGTCGTATCAAAGATCACATGCAGAATGGCAAGCTAGATCTCACCAAACTTAAGCATGTTGTCCTGGACGAAGTTGATCAGATGTTGGATATGGGTTTTGCTGATCAAGTGGAAGAGATTTTAAGTGTTGCATATAAAAAAGGTAAGCCCCAAATTTGAGACACTGATACAGGGGACCAAAGGAAGGGTGGTGATTAAGTAGCCTTCTAAGAGATAAATGAAGCCTTGTGAAATTGGAAGGGGACGTATTTTATTCAGGCAAACTTGGATTTTAAAAAAAAAACAGTCATGGCTAGGCACAGTGGCTCACACCTGTAATCCTAACATTTTGGGAGGCCAAGGCTGGAAGATATCTTGAGGCCACGAGTTTGAGACCAGCCTGGGCAACAGTGAGACACCGTCTCCACAAAAAGTTTTTTAAAATTAGCTGGGTGTGGTGGTGTGTGCCTGGTCAGGAGGCGGAGGTAGGAGGATCACTTGAGCCCAGAAGTTTGAGGTCGCAGTGAGCTATGATGATGCCCCTACAGTTTAGGTTGGGCAACAGCAAGACCTTGTCTTAAAAAAAAAATAAAGTCATGATTTATCACATAACTACAGTGGGGAATACTTGGGAAAGTAAAAGAAGAAAAATTCCATATTCTGTTTTGCTTTTGGTATATCTCTCCCTGACTGTGTGTGTTAGTTAGTGTATGTGTTAATTATAATCTGACTGTACATGTAAAAATTCAGGATGATATTCCTTTTAGTGGTCGGCCATGATTTAATTCCACTATGCCTATTTTAATTTTTTTCAATGTAAATATTTCTACTTGTAGTCACTTTCATGCAGATAGCTTCTCTCACACCTCAATATCTGGAATTGTTTCTTTACGATAGATTTCCAGAAGTGGAATTACTGAATTAAAATGCGTAAATAGCTTATGCTCTTTGAATGCATTGTCAGATTGCTTCCCAAAAGGATTCTACCGCCTTACATTGTCTTTTGAAATGTAGGAGAATGTAATGGTTTCTTAAGTACAAACCAAATAGTGAACCCAAAGGATGAGTAGACTAGAATTCTAGATTAATAAAATATTGATGAAGTATTGGGGAATATAGAATCTGTTCAGGTTTGTTTATTGTAGGTTATTTGCTGCTTGGTTATTGGGCTTCATGAATTGTCCAGGTCTTGCTACATTGGACAGATTTCCTTTGTGATTCATAAAGCCCAGTGGACAGAAAGCAAAATAAGTTTAAAGTACTTTTGCTATTTCAAGGATCCTTTATATTAATTCCTTCAGCAGTATTTCTTTGCCTACTGCAAAACCTCTGTGTCTTTCATTTTTTGTGTCTTCTATGCCTGACTTGGCCTCAAGTAGTTGCTGATGAATGTTGATGGACCGTGGAAGTTCTAGGTGAGGTGGAATACTATGTAGGCTTGTTTGAATTACTCATACTAACTTTTTTCCCCCTGAAGATTCTGAAGACAATCCCCAAACGTTGCTTTTTTCTGCAACTTGCCCTCAGTGGGTATTTAATGTTGCTAAGAAATACATGAAATCTACATATGAACAGGTGGACCTGATTGGTAAAAAGACACAGAAAACGGCAATAACTGTGGAGGTAAATAATTTATTTAGTTGCTGGAGTTAATATAAAATTGTATATCTTTTTCTGATAATACTAAGACTGGCAAATTCACCCTTTTCCCAGATAAATAGTAAATCCATATTAAAAGCCAAGTCAAGATATATTTCTATTTGAGTTGTATATGGTATCTGTGTTTCCTAAATGTCACTATCTGGTAGCCTGATTTTATTTCATAATCATGTGGAACCTAAATCTGTGAATTATATAAATAAGGAAATCACACTTAGACACTGGGGGCAGCAGAGAAATTTAGTGCTTTGCGTTGAAGCTGTTTTTATCTTCAGGTCTGATACCCAGTTAACTTCATTTCACCTGAGGAACAGACCTATATAGTAACTGACTATGGATTGCATTTTTAGTTGGATGAAAGGACAAAACATGCAGAAACTCGTCACTTATTTGATTTCCTGTGGAATCTGGGGAATGACATTTCCTTTCCTACATTTTCCTGGTTAAGTCAGAAAATAGATAAAGAAGCCAGATGCTCTCTGGACAAAGGGGAGAGACACAGGGGAACAGACCATATATGGCTCTCTGCTTTAATGGTTTATTTAGTATTTTGTTTTGTTTTTCTACTCTCTAAGCAATGGTGGCAGTAGACAGCTGTTGCCAGGCTAGAGCAGTTGTTTCCAGTACTAAGACATTAGATCATTAGTGTTGAGCAGATTTCAGGTTCCAGCAAGGTCTTACTGAATAGATTTTTTTTCTTTGTCTCTTATAAGCATCTGGCTATCAAGTGCCACTGGACTCAGAGGGCAGCAGTGATTGGGGATGTGATCCGAGTATATAGTGGTCATCAAGGACGCACTATCGTCTTCTGTGAAACCAAGAAAGAAGCCCAGGAGCTGTCACAGAATTCAGCTATAAAGCAGGTTGGTTTTCCCCTCATGCCTGCAAAGCTGGGGCTATCAACAAATCTTTACCTTGGACATACCTGCTCTGGGTCTAGTTTTCATTCATCCAGTGACTTCCAGTTTATTTTAGGTTACGAATGAGAGGACATTTCATTCAAGTAATGGTCAGAGTATATACATTTTAGAGCTCAACTAATCTGTCGTGATGTCTCATCTTACAGATGAGGAAATGGTGGCTCAAATCTACGGTTATACTGACAAAGTAAGTTTGATTGCTCTTGTCAGATTTTTTTTTTTTTTTGAGACAGAGTCTGGCTCTGTTTCCGTGGCTAGAGTGCCGTGGCATCAGCCTAGCTCATAGCAACCTCAAACTCCTGGGCTCAAGCGATCCTCCTGCCTCAGCCTCCCGAGTAGCTGGGACTACAGGCATGCACCACCGTGCCCG